ACTTTGGACGGGTACACCACGTAACAATATTAACATAACATCGTGGTGGGAAGTATAAATATCGGTTTCTTTCCTGTACTAGTTTTGGAACTCTCNTTAACAATATTAGCATCGTGGTGGGAAGTATAAATATCGGTTTCTTTCCTGTACTAGTTTTGGAACTCTCCATTCTGTGCTTTGTGTATGCTCTCTCTCTCTCTTACACACTCACACAGATCTAGTCAGCTTTGCCTACTTGGATTGATTGATATAAATTCCAACTCACAACTATAAAAGAAAATCTCTCATGCTACTCTTCTGAGCGATGGAGCTCAAAATTGTCATCACTACGCTTTGTATTGGTCTCTCAGTTGTGCTCACACCCTGTGATTCTCATCAAATTCAGCTGCAATCATCCCATGAACAAGGTAATGGTAATAACTCTCTCTCTCTCTCTCTCTCTCTCTTTCTCACACACACACACACACTCACTCTTAATCTTATATATGTTTACACCCTGTGCAGCTCATGACATCCAGCTTAATCTCCATACACTCCCAAGGAAGCTCAAGCTCACAGAGAAAGTAAGTGTATAACCTTTGTCACACCCAATACATTCTTCAAAAAAACCATAAACTATATTTTCTTCCTGTCAAAACAGGTGATCACAAATTCTGGAGATAAAGACTTGGTGCCATACAACAAGCGAAACCAAGTTTCATCAGGTAATTAAGCATCTATTATCAAGCTTGCTCATGGACTAAGTTGTTCACTATATATACAGTTAACAAAACATGGACTTCACTGCTCTTAAACTTCCAGAGATGAAAGTAATGGGGTTATGGGCCATATGGCATTGTTGTTTAAAACATAAGAAACCTCAAAGTATACACATGCATTAGTCATTTACCAGCAGGAGGATCAAAATGTTTTTAACATAGATTGTGTATGCAATGTCACGAATTTAGATACTTAAATGGCCCTGAAATAGTTGGATTATTCTTTCACTTCTATGGAAACAGTATGGAATATGCAATAAGCTTTACTCTTGAATAAGCCTTTCGAGTTCCATCCTGCACGGTCCTTAATTTAAAGCATGAAATTGCTCCTCTCACCGAGTTGTAACTAATTGTTCTTGTTTGTTGTGGATGATTTGTATTCCGTTCCGCTTGACATGAATCCTAGTTGACAATGTTTTTGAGCCTTAGTCCATGGAACGGAGGGGAGGGACTGCAGTCAAAGCAATTATTTTGACCTTTTTTTTTTTTGGAATTTAAAACCATTATGAGAATGCTGATTGTTCTAAATGTTCATCCCTCCAGGATTTGTAAAACCTAACTATATGGGAGGAAACAAGAGTCTTTGTGTTTTATAAATGTTGTGAACTCAGGACAGTTTAGGTTACCTGATTTGTGATTTTAGTTTAAGAGATCGAACTCTTTATAATTCATCTATGATAGTATACTTTCTCTTTTGTGCTACCTCCATAGACAAAAATGTTGACTTGTACCACGTAAATTTGAATATTCTATATCTTCCCTTTTCATTCGGTTGATAATTTTGTGGTTCTTAAGCGAATCTTAGTAATTTCTTCATTTGGGTGTGTTTGTATTGCTTCACCACACCTGAAGCGCATGGTTTATGGATAATTGTATGCACTTATACGATTTGTCTTGTATTTATGCCTACAAAGGGTGTGGTTAGAATGAAATACATTCCTCTTTAACTCTGCAAGCGACCCATTTCAAGCACACTAGCTAGCTGCCAAGACTATTTCTTTAATGTAGTGAAATATACCTTAGTATCAAAATAGAATCTAACACGATCTAGAAGCTTATATAGTTCATTTTTCAAACAATAAATCATTCTTTCACGAAGTTGCCTCAACATATATCTATATATATATATATATATATATTAATCAATTTCTTCATTCTTATGGATTCTTTAATATTTAATGTCCAGTTAAGCTTCATCTCAAAGAAGCAAATATGAAGCATTCAAGAAAAGGGACATGGAGAGAATGGGTGGAAAGGACAGACACTTCACAATATTTTACCATGGATTATTCCTACGTTAGAAGACGACGTCCCATACACAACAAGTCTCTGCCAGTTGGTCCATGAAACAGGGATATATATCTATATATATATATATTTGATTTCATTCTGAAAGTACAGAACAAAGTTTTTGGACTGAGTTTCTGAGGGAAAAAAAATGATATGGTGATTAGGGAAATGGGGAAGTTGTCGTCTTCAAGCTTGGTTGTGGCAGACATTAAGGGACAAAACCCTAAGTTTTGTTGAAAACTAAGGCCCTACTTGTGCTTTTGAGGATCATTCACTTTGTTTTATGGGCATTTTTTGTTTTTTTATTTTTAATTTTTCAAGAGCAGTCAAAGTGGTCTCAACCCCCCCCCCCCCAAACCTTTGTAATTTGTTCCCACAAAGGACAAACTACATGCTTGGATTGGGTGGGAACCAATATTACTTGCAAGTTAATGTATTTATATTGGGAATTAGGTGTACATTTGTGGTAATACTGTCAAATCTTAATCAACCGATATTCTTAGCTATAATGAGCCAAATTTTTCGACCTAAACCAACTTACGAGGATCTTGATTCTTGATCTCTCTACCTGCATAGTCGTCATGGCTGCTCCTAACAAAAAATATTTTGGTGTTTGTAACACACTGTGTGGAAGATCCAAGTGGTTTACATGAACTCAATGAGAAACTATTATAACACTAATTTGTCAGGCACATAAGATAGTTTTTTTCAAAAAAATTTGTGAAAAGTGTACAATATCTATGTGTGATATTAGGACTTAAGAGTACTAGTGAACTTTACTTTCTCACATGAGAAGTTTTTGGTCCAAGTATATGACTTTTAGGAAAGAAATTGTCTTAAAAACAGGGCAGTAAGTAAGAATTGACTGAAAAGAAAAGGAAGAATGACACTTAATCATCTAGATCTCAAACAATAATATCCAAATAAGGTTTGTTTTAGTTTATTTTAAGTATTCTCTTGATTTTTCACTTTTAAAATAATTTTTTAAGTAGCACTCTTTTCCTTTATACAGTGTCGTCATCGGTGACAAGTAGTATCATCAATGTCTTAGCAAATATGGACAATGGAAAGACTGGACAAAACAAAGAAACAAGTGTACTCTCTTAGCCAACTGATCATGCACACCAACAGATCTGTTTTGCTCTTCGGGTGATATCATCTTGAAACACAACTTTTAGGTAATGGACTCCATGACTATCCTTTTTAATGTCACAGTATCCTTGCTTAGATTGCTATGAATTTTTGAAATTCCTCAGAGCCCATGAAACAGGGAAGCCTGACAACCAAACATAGCTTCTTGACCATAATTTTTTTGGATTTGGCTCTCCATTGTAAAGTTATCAAAATAAATTCTTGTTGATGGTGTATGTCACGCAATTGAACAGAGCTTATGATATTTAGGAATTAGTGGGTCACTGAATGAATTAGTCGGAACTCTTAAGCTCTTAAGAATTGAGCAAGGGAAGTGGAGAATTGCACACAGAGAGTTTATAGTATTTCACCAGTTTGGGAGCTCGGCTAATTCATTGTCAAGAGAGTCTCTTGCTCCTAAAGATGACATTATTGAAAAAATGGGGATTTACACAGAATAATGCTTAGGCTAATTGTTTGTGTCTCATTGTGAGGAATATGCCTCTTATTTATAGCCTTCTAAGGCCTTGCCTGATCCTTGGCGTGATTTTTGTCTTCTTCTTCTAACGGTTACGTCTTTTATGCGATTGCCATAGATATCGCTGAGACGGTTATGACTTCCTTACCCAAATATAAAACCGTTACAATTTCTTTGCCCAAATATATGACCGTTACAATATATGTGTAGTATTTGGGTGGAAGCCAGCTGTCATCCTTATTATTCCTGTGGAGGTGCAGTTGTTAGGGAGGAGGTGCTGACCTAAACTCCCTTGGCTATTCATAATGAGCTGAGTGATCCGAACTTGGAATGTCCGAGTTGATTGACCGAACTCAACCTTAAGTATATTTTGGGTATCATCACTTGCAATGCTAATGTAACAATGATGACATGATGTCACGATTACATCCAATCCCTCCCATGTCAAGATGAATCTTGGAGACTTGAAATCAAAAGGCATGACAAAAGGACCAGTTGCAAAACCTCTGCCTTCACGAGGCTCTGTTCCGGATTAATTCATCATGGTATTTAAAATAGAAGGCAATGGACAATGAGCAAAAGAAGAGAGAAATATCAGTAACCTTTACCTTGGCCTTCTGTGTATATATTCTTGTCTAAAGGCAGATTTTTTATTGGTTTGAATTCAATGATCTAATCATTTTCATGTTTCATATCCGATTAAGTTGATAATTGACAATTTGATATGAAAATGGGACCCAACCCGAATAATTTAACTACAACAGAATTTTAGCAAATTAAATTCGTATTTAAAATCCATTTCATCATCTATTTATGTGTGCAGATCATAAACACAGATCCGATGACGTTACAACCAATAGTGGTATACTCAACTTCGAATTTATGAAATACGGTTTAATTCCTATAATGTTATAACGGACTTGACTTCTAATTCAGATTTTTGGTCGAAAAGTTAACTTATATTCAGTTAATCAATTTCAAACTCATTAGATTCGGATGAAAATTAGATCTCTGGACGGACCTTTTCTCTGATATCTAGTATTAATATGATATTATTCTTGCACAATTGACAGACATGCCCAGGAGCAAGATTATAGTACAGTAACTACCAAAAGGTTCATATGTTAATCTTTATTCTTAAATCTTTGACATAGTAAAGGAAAAAAAAAACTCAAAATCTTAACCACAATTCTTGCCAAACATTAACACAATGTCTCGTGAATTTCTTAGTCTTGATGTGAATCACCTGTCTTTGATCAGATCGGTGAAGGGATTAGTCGAGAAATGCGTGAACTGACTCGACACCTGACCACAAAAAAAAAACGAATCAAAATTACAAGTGATCAGTGCAAGGAAGGAGTTGGCAAAATCCAAATTGCAGGCACCAAATGCTTTTGTGAACAATCTAAATTGCAGAGTCCTTGGAAGCTACCATCATCAACATTGAAGATGCCCAAGTCACAGCGGCCGTAAACCGGAGGAGGATGTGCAACCATCAAATAATGATCGGTAAAGTATATGCAATTTGGTCGGCATCCCGGAAAATCAGAAGCCAAAACAGCCATGGACTGGTTATCACCTAAGAATAGGGCATCACCACCTAGACTCTTCACCTCAACCCTCTCTGCCTCCTCATTTGGATTGAACTGCAACTTGAAAATCTTGAAACGATAAGTCACATGGCGATTGTCATCCGATTTAATCCGAATTAGAAACCTTTGAACTATCAAGAGATCACCTCTAGATGATTCCACAATATAGNAAGAGTATTTTAGTCTTGTATAATTATTTTTTACTCGTATTAGAGCTATTTAATAGCTTTCTTAATCTCGATATAAAACTCTTAAACGACAGATATTTAAGAAGAGAAGGAATAATTCGCATTGATGTGATTCAATTCAACGTTGGAATGAGTAAATATTTACTCGGTTATCTCATTGTTATTGGGCGTTTAGTTTGTTCAGCTATCACATTAAGTGCAATCACACTTTGAATTGACACCAATATTGTATCCCTTGGGTGAGACTGTGACATGCTTTTCCTTAACTATTTTTTTTTTTTTACGAATTATAGTAATTAACCACGAAATACAAAGAAATTATCAGTGAAAATATCCTCGGAAATTGAATTCTGTCGGCAAAATTTTTTACCGCTGTCAACTTTTGGTTGCCCTAACTTTTAGGGTTAATTTCTCTTTGCACCCTGAAAGATTTCAAGTTTTTTTTATTTTGCATTCTTAAATATTAAGTTTCTTATATTGTACCGTCAATATATCAAAAGTGTTGTAATGTGATCTTTTTATTAATTTTCTTTTAGTTTTTGTCGTTAGTGTCAATGAATTGATTTTTGATGAAAAAAATAACGGAAGCTAATAGAAAGATCATATTACAACACTTTGATACATTGAGATTATAATGTGAAAAATTTAATTTTTGAAGGTATAAAATAAGAACCTTAAAATCTTTTAGAGTGCGGAGTGTGAAAAATACGAACTTTTTAGTGATGACTTTTTTATTTTCTCCAACGGAAGTTTTCCTAAGTAAAAAGTTTTTTTTTTTTTGGTTGTTGTAGTGCTTGTTATTGTGTACTTACCACTTACCATTGACCACACCCATTAACAATGTGATGCACGGGTTCACCAACTGCTATTAGGTCACGTTTAGGAGCCCAAGTGACCAAAAGGGTGGTCTTAATTGATGCAAAAGAGATGCCACTTTATAGTGGTTCATGTCATCATCATTCAAATTTTGATGAGTTGCTTCAATGCTTCATCAATGCATTTAGGTCATGAAGACGTCTTGAAATTCTAAAAAATGATAGTCAAATTCGACAGGAAACTGATAAAAAATTATTGGGTTTGAGTTTGAATTAAAATTTGCTAATTTAAGTGATTAAAGAATAAACATGTTGCACCCCGTCAAATTAATAGATCTTATATAGATATTGTGTTATATAAATTTTAACACAATCTGATGTATATAATTTTTGAGTAATGTTAGATGAATTTAAAAATTATACTTGATAATCTTAACCATTGAATAGATAGTGAATCTCAATAAATGCTGGGACTCACAGTTAAATCAATAGTTGAAATTATCAAGTTTAGTTTTTAAGTCTACTTTTTAAATTTATGTACCATTACTCATAATTTTTTCCCGAATCACTAGTAGGGCTGTTAATCAAGCCAAACTTGAAGATTTTTTTAAGCTTGTTAATGTGTAAATAATCAAACAAACCTGCTCGTTNCCAACCATGTGAAGACCCACAAATTCTTTTACAATAAAAGAATGGAATCTTGAAACTAAATGATTTATTCTCCGTGACACTGTATAAACTGCGTCCTTCTTCAGCAGGAATATTATTAGGAGGGAGCATGAGCAATGGGATTTGGTTCCGATTCATGTCGATACGCCGATGCCTGTGATGGTGAATCACAACAGAGTGCCATGGCTTGCAGACAAGGCTTAGCCGGAGTTGGTCGGGGAGAGAAACCAATTTATCAAGAATTGAATCAAGAAGGAGGTCGGGAAGACATGTCCAATCTGATGAGGACTCACTCGTGAAGGCCATGCATGCATGGAACACTTACATACTATATGGTTCTGGACAGAACATTATAACATGAACAAGTAGAAGAACAGTAACAACACACCATTAGTTTTCTCCTCCGTTGGGATGCATTTGAGCTAGGAAGATCTAGGTATCTATTTATATAGGTGTATAATATAAGGTAGGGTGTGACTTTACAATTAGAAGTCAATAGTGCAGAGTACAAATCCTGGCTTGTTTTGGAATCAGAAATAATTAGGATACCAGGGTTTTTTGGATCATATCTTTATAAATAAAGACGATCTATTACACGAGACTCTTATAGTTTGAAAAAAGTTAAATGTATGTAACTTATCTAGTAACTCAAATCCTTAACACACAAATCGGTGGAAGACAACAGTAGCCGGGTTGTTTTGTGTGAAATTTTTATCTTTTATGGTTACCGTAATTTTGATAAATACTCCTATCCAAATAAAATAATACATAATTTACTTAGCTAATTCATTATAATCATTAGATTAATAGCAAGTTGGAAGTTGAATTGAGTTGATCGTGAACTGCAGTGGATTAGATCAACATATGTAATCATAAATCATAAATAAGTAACCAGGGACGAGTTGTAAACTCAGACGTCCTGAGTTTGAATCTTAGCAACTTTTTGAGACCAAACTATGAGGTATTTATCTTTGACGGATACTCTAGTCATGACGTAGATGGTGGAGATTAATCAAGATTTGCATAAATTTGTTCGAAAACTTCTACCCGTTAAACAAAAAAAAAAAAAAAAAATCATAAACAAATACTAAAGTCCAAATCAAAATGTGTAATCTTAGTTTCCTGGAAAAAAAATAAAATCAAAAGCAGTCAGGAGAACCCAACTCAGCGAGTCATTTTATTCTTCTCTATCATGATCTAAACCACATTGGTGCACAATTGAAGCCACTGAAAATGATCATATGCCAAAAAACTGTGTCTTCCAATGCTATATCCAACTGATCATAACAACTCTGACCACTTTTAGCCTACTAAACTTTACCTGCTAGGACTTGTTGAATTTGTGTATGACTTGCTGGAAACAAAACTTGTACATCACAAGTAAATATTTGGTACAATTATGATATCATCCTATCATGGATAGCCAATACATTTGAATTACCCATATGAATTATTGTTATTGTATAGTACTCTCTCCGTTTTTAAATATTTTTCATTTTACGTAATTTTTTTTGTTTCATAATATTTGTCGTTTAATGAAACCAAAACATAATTAATATTTTTTCTTTCAAATATACCCTTAACTTTTCAATGCATTAGATTAGGTGTAGGCTAAGTGCCTTTCATATTCTTTTCCTTCCTAATACGTATTGAATAAGAGTATTTTAGTCTTGTATAATTATTTTTTACTCGTATTAGAGCTATTTAATAGCTTTCTTAATCTCGATATAAAACTCTTAAACGACAGATATTTAAGAAGAGAAGGAATAATTCGCATTGATGTGATTCAATTCAACGTTGGAATGAGTAAATATTTACTCGGTTATCTCATTGTTATTGGGCGTTTAGTTTGTTCAGCTATCACATTAAGTGCAATCACACTTTGAATTGACACCAATATTGTATCCCTTGGGTGAGACTGTGACATGCTTTTCCTTAACTATTTTTTTTTTTTTACGAATTATAGTAATTAACCACGAAATACAAAGAAATTATCAGTGAAAATATCCTCGGAAATTGAATTCTGTCGGCAAAATTTTTTACCGCTGTCAACTTTTGGTTGCCCTAACTTTTAGGGTTAATTTCTCTTTGCACCCTGAAAGATTTCAAGTTTTTTTTATTTTGCATTCTTAAATATTAAGTTTCTTATATTGTACCGTCAATATATCAAAAGTGTTGTAATGTGATCTTTTTATTAATTTTCTTTTAGTTTTTGTCGTTAGTGTCAATGAATTGATTTTTGATGAAAAAAATAACGGAAGCTAATAGAAAGATCATATTACAACACTTTGATACATTGAGATTATAATGTGAAAAATTTAATTTTTGAAGGTATAAAATAAGAACCTTAAAATCTTTTAGAGTGCGGAGTGTGAAAAATACGAACTTTTTAGTGATGACTTTTTTATTTTCTCCAACGGAAGTTTTCCTAAGTAAAAAGTTTTTTTTTTTTTGGTTGTTGTAGTGCTTGTTATTGTGTACTTACCACTTACCATTGACCACACCCATTAACAATGTGATGCACGGGTTCACCAACTGCTATTAGGTCACGTTTAGGAGCCCAAGTGACCAAAAGGGTGGTCTTAATTGATGCAAAAGAGATGCCACTTTATAGTGGTTCATGTCATCATCATTCAAATTTTGATGAGTTGCTTCAATGCTTCATCAATGCATTTAGGTCATGAAGACGTCTTGAAATTCTAAAAAATGATAGTCAAATTCGACAGGAAACTGATAAAAAATTATTGGGTTTGAGTTTGAATTAAAATTTGCTAATTTAAGTGATTAAAGAATAAACATGTTGCACCCGTCAAATTAATAGATCTTATATAGATATTGTGTTATATAAATTTTAACACAATCTGATGTATATAATTTTTGAGTAATGTTAGATGAATTTAAAAATTATACTTGATAATCTTAACCATTGAATAGATAGTGAATCTCAATAAATGCTGGGACTCACAGTTAAATCAATAGTTGAAATTATCAAGTTTAGTTTTTAAGTCTACTTTTTAAATTTATGTACCATTACTCATAATTTTTTCCCGAATCACTAGTAGGGCTGTTAATCAAGCCAAACTTGAAGATTTTTTTAAGCTTGTTAATGTGTAAATAATCAAACAAACCTGCTCGTTTATATATAAATAATCGAATTATTAAACTCAAATTCAACTCCATTAATACTTCTGGTCACAAGAGTCTTAAACATGACACGGGAGTCCTACTACTAATGGCATGGCCCATCAGTCATGGATTGGGCTGATTGGCACTTCCCGTGCAAGCCCATGTATGGTAATTAGCCCGGTAGGTAGGTTAGTGATCCTTTCTTGACCAACCAATGGACCGTTGCATGATGGGTTAGATTGGTCCGGCCCGTTGCAACCCCTTATACCGAACTATTATACACGACAACAAACTGTCAAACACTTGTTTGTTGCCGCCAAGTCAAACACGAGCAAACACCTACTCTCTCTCTCTCAATACATTATCTTTGAATCCAACACAGAGTGCTGCTTCAAGACATTGAAAAAGCAAGGCCTTTTCACTTATGGTTCCACTTCCTAATCCTATCTTGTCGCTAACCTCAAAGCTGACTGCCACTCTCTTTTTTTTCTTCTTATTTCTTCCATTCACCCTCTTTACTTTCATTTGTATCTCTCTTCCCTTCCTTCTACTCTTACCCATATTGTGCCTCTTCTCTCTCCCTTTGGTTCTTTCTCAGTTCTTGTTTCGACTGTTCATCAAACCTCTGGGAATGATTTTTAAAGGCATGTCCATGGTGGTTTGTGGGTCAAGAACTCATCAGAAAGCTGATGGGGACCTTGAGAATAAACAAGAGAGCTTGGAATTAGATCTCTCGGACTTTCCCTCTGTGGATGAATCTGGTCATGAAGATGAAGATGAAGAAATTATGAGGGAGGTCAGAAGACATACATTTGTCCAGCATGAGGATTCGAGGCAAATTCAGGTACAGACTGTTGACATATAAATACTAGAATTACACTCTTTCTAATCATTTAAACTTGCAGATAAGATGATTATTTAACATGATAATTAGTATCATAATAGAAGATCTTGTGTTCTAAAAAGATTTTTATGCTTTTGGCCCACCCTTCTCTTTAATATTAGCATACTAATATTTAACGAACATTGCTACTTTTATCAAAATATTTATCAAATTTTACTTAACCAAGTTTATACCAAGTGTTGGATTAGTGGGTCCTATGAACTTTCTAATAGTACCAATTCATCCAATCATCTACGATCATTTGGTAAAGTATATTTAGTAAAAAATTTGGTATGCGAATCTGTATTCACATTTAATCTCATCTAATCAAAATGGTAGGTCTAAAAGCAAGTTGTCCTGGGGCCTATTTTTTGGCTCATGAAAACTACATTCATGGCCAGAATCAAAAGTCTTGATTAAGTGGCGCAAGTTTCTTTGACATGTCGACTTCAAGACAACATCCGAAAATGAGACTGATAACACGAATAATAAATGAATCGATTTACTCATAATAAACTCATTTAATTGGTATTGTGTGAAAAAAATTATTCGACTTTTTTTTTTATTTCTTAATATAGCATTGTATGACTTGGAAGATAATTAAATGGTTATATGCTTCATTTTCTTAGGATGTAGATCGGGTAGATTTTTAGTTTGCAAACGCCTTCATATAGTAAATTTGATTTTTTGTTTGCGGAAGCCAAACACAACACTAACATGACACCAACCGAATATAATACAAACACAAAATAACCCAAGTGGAACATGAAAGGATACGACTCGATTGCAATAGAGAAACTAGAGAATTTAAGTGGAGGAACCAAATAGAAAAATACTAATAATAAATTGTCGACACTCAGAGTGGTCAAATACAAATTTATTAAAAACAAATAGTAAAAATTTTGAGACCTAGAAAGGGACTGTAGAATAATGTTATTTATACCTAATTAATTGATGAATTGATAATAACGGTATTCAACTGTTACAGTGAATTAGATTAATAAATTAAGTCTTTAAATTAGATCCAAATAATATTATTGAGGTACTGTAATATAGTTCCATCCCTTATCAATTGCCATCCCTAATCTGAACGATCAGCATCCTCATATTTCCTGACTCTGTTGGTAGATGGTGTAATCACTTTGTCTTGTATTCACTTGCAAAATTCCACACACTATCTTCCATGGGTTGAACTGTTTGACTTCTCCTTATCTTTTTTGATTATTTATTTATTTATGCAGTTCTATGAGGCACTGTCGTTTTGGAAAAGAAGAGAAAGAGAAGAGATTTAAAACTTGCATTCATGGCCAGAATCAAATGTCTGGAATAAGTGGGGAAGTTTCTTGACATGTCGACCACAAGACAATATCCGAAAATGAAACCGCAAACACGAATAATAAAAGAATCAGTTTACTGTTAACGGCTATCCTCTCTACTAATATTAGAGTTATTTGTTTGTTAAAGGAATGCACAGACACACAAATTGTTTGTTAGAGCCTTTCACTTCGACCTTCTATAAAATGTATAAGCTACAGTAATAGCAGCAACTGCTCCAGCCACAGCAGCAACTGTAAGATCTTCTCTCGTTGCTTCCAGTTTCCTGTCCAGCCTGAGAGTCTTCCCAGTCTCTTCTTTCCCAGTTTCTCCTCTAAACTTACATCTCTGCAACATGAGACCCAAAAGTACCTTGGCAGCAGCTTGCCACATTTTTCTTTTTCTCTTTGGTGCCACTTTCTTGGGGGTTTCCACTATTCTTCAAAGATTTCCATTTCGAAGCTTCTGTTCGTCCAACTTCTTAGCTTCCTCAACACAGTCACCCATTTTACCCCTGCAGTCGTAAATAATATATTCTTAGTAGATATAAGAAATGTGACAAAGGAATGAGAGGACCTTAGGGACGTGGCAACCTCTCCGAAAGCATCCATTTTGGTTTTCATATTCACACCTTCGATACCGAAATTTCAAACCTCATAAAATTAATCCTTAGAACATCTAATTGTTTGCACTTATTTATTGTCCAAATCAGGTATCCACTCCACTATCAATGGTTGTTACTTGAGGAGCAACAACTTGCTGCAATGGTTTAAAGTTGTTGCTCCTCAAGTCGTTGTTACTCTAATTTTGTTTCTGGGTTCTGTGGAAACTTGGAGGCATTATATGTCGAAGCATTGGTAATCGGCATTATAGCTTCAATTAAATTTGATCCCATTTGTTTGTAGTTGTCGTGATCTACATGGATCAGTGATTTTTTTTTTTTAATTTGTTTGTTTAAATTTGATTAGTTCATGTGAGAAAAATTAACATTCGCCGTAGAGAAAAATTCGCTTTTGCTTTTGATATCCTCTACAGGTCCCTACACTTCTCTTTGTGCATTTAAGTGAATAATTTTTATATGCATTATTTGTAACTGTGCACTTAGTTGAAAGTTTTAGTGAATTAGGCTGAAATTAAACCACAAAAAGGAACCGAGTTGATATTCAAAATCAAAGTTCCGATGTGAAAATGGAAATACAAAGAGTATTAGGGGATTGACCTCAATGTAGGGAAATAAATGTCTTTCATTTAGCTTATTAACTATCAAAAAGCATAATTTACATTGCAAGTTCTAATTTTGCTTGATTGTTTTTATTTTTCAAACCCATAAAAGTAGTGGTTTATGTTTCATTAATTGTAGTTGGCAAAAAGTGGAAATGAATATTATGTCAATGACGAATGAATTAGTAACTTTTTAAGATAAGATGATAAAATATGTAAATTGTGTATACGTGTATTCAAAATTTTTGAGTTATGATTTTAGAGATAATTTTTTCTATTTTTTTTATGCATTCACCGACTCTATATACTTATTTTTTATTATTATATGCATCATTTTTTCTCTCGTTAAAGCTCATTTTTTTAGTAGTTAATTTTTTTTTTTGTACAATGCATTCAGGCACAAGTAAAAACTAGTGTATATATATATATATATATATATATATATATATATATATTACAAATTGGCTTGGTTTGATGAACCAAGTGAAGCCAAGCTTGAGAGTTATATAAGCTGAGATTTCTTGATGATCAAGAAGACTTTGAGACCTCTGTTGGGTTTCTTGTGCAAAGGGAAAGCCATAGGAAGTGGGTGGAGGCTGAAAATTTTTCTTTCAACTTTTGACCATGAAGACCTTAGCTTTCCTGATTTTTGGCACAAGTTTCCTCCAGGGTTAGCTTCTTGGAACTGTCTTCAACATATGCCCTTCTGTTGCGGCACTAAGGGTAAGGCAGGGGTACTGACGTCCGTACTGTGCCTTCATTAATCTCGGTCATCGATTTTGAATTAGATTATTTATGACCATTGATTAAAAAATGATAAAATAAGAACAATATAGATGTGATGCATTTCTGTTGATCAAAACATAAAAATACAGTACCCAGAAAAAAAAAAAAAAAAGAAGAGCATTTTCGGTAATACTTGCCTAGCACTTTCTACAATTAGAGCAGTTCACAAAAACAAAAAAAATTACCTCCCAAAGCATTACAAAAAGGAATGGAACTATAATTAGTCTATCAACATAAAGATAAAAAAAAAATACAAACGAAATTTATGTATTTTGTGATCGAAAAAAAATTGATTAGGATCATATTAAAATTGATTAAAAATTATATTTATTTGATGCATTTATAATATTTTATAAAAAAAAATAGGGTAAATTTCATAGTTTGTCTTGAATTTTACCTCTAATTTCAATTTAATCCATGAACTTACACTTGTTTTATTTTATTTCATCAACTATCAATTTTATTACATTAAGACTTTTTATTTATTTTCATCGTTAGATCAATGTTGAAATCAATCAAATTGGGCTATTCTCTAGTTGTTCTGACGATAAAAATTAATGGAATGATTTAATTGAAATAAAATTTATAATTGATGGATTAAATTAAAAGAATTAAAATTTTAGGTACTACATTAAAACTTGAGAGAATTTAGGGGTGACTTATAATAATTATCTAAACATTTATTAATTTACTTTTTTTCATTACATATTCCATTCGATGGAGATCAGTCCTTAAGGTGCGGTGCATGACAAGTTTGACCGCGTCATTTGGTCTGTCGCGTGAAAATCCAAGAAGAATTAGTTGAGCTGCTTTGAATTGCTGGACGCGTCGTATTATCTCACGTTTTTTTAGAGATTTTTGTAGATTTGAAGATGTTAGTTGGATTGACGATTTTTAGGCTAAAAATTTCATATCAATTAATGTCTTTAAACCTAAAAACGTCAGATTAATTGACATGTTTTAAATTATTTGGGTTTGAAAATTATTTTTAAATCAACCTTTAGTTGAAAATTTTTAAANGATTAATTGACATGTTTTAAACTATTTGGGTTTGAAAATTATTTTTAAACCAACCTTTAGTTGAAATTTTTTTTAAAAAAAATCATAAGATGGGTCAAAAGCTCGTCGAACTCGTGGAGTATGACGTTTTAGGCCTAACCTTTCTCTTTAATGAATGTTCATGCATACTAATATCTAGTGAGTATTGCTATCAAGTCGATACAAAGTGTTCGGTTAGTGGGTGCCATTAATTTTCTGACAGGACCTATTAATCTAATCACCCACGTTCATTTGGCAAATTATATTTAGCAAAAATTTTGGTATATATATCCAGCAGCAAAAATTATAAAAAATTAGCAAAAATATTTAGCAAAAATTATATTGCTTGGCTCACGAGAACTACATTCATGGCCATAATCAAATGTCTGGATTAAGTGGGGGAAGTTTCTTGACATGTCAACCACGAGACAATATCTGAAAATGAAATTACTAACACGAATAATAAAAGAATTAATTTTCTGTTACCGGCTATCCTCTATATTAGTATTAGAGCTATTTAATTTTACTCAAAAATTTAGGATTTTTATGGATTTAGATTCCCTCCATTATATTAAATTTTCATTGAGCGATAAATCATCCACCATTTATAGTTGAAATGTCCACCTATAAATAGTAAGTCAGGCTTGAATTTGCCGTAAGTCCGACTTTCACGGTATATAGTCACATACAGTTCAAACATGACTAATTAAATGAAGTTCTTATTAGGTTCTAGTATACACTAGTAAAATAATATGTCACTGTAGAATTACAGGTGTTCATTCAGATAGAAAATACACAATTCTATTTTGATCTCATGTGAACCGCACATTCCAGCACACTCCAACTCACACGGGTAGCCCAGTAGGGTGGAGTTCGTGTTTGACAAATACTAAACTTGGATACACATGATTAGCAGATGATTATAGGTATCCAAGGTTTATCTTTGTAAGGTGGATCCAATGTAAACTTTCCTCGGAGAAGTCACTCGTTATTCGTTACGTAAAAAAAAATGCACACCTCCTTCCCTGACCCTTATTGCTGATACAAGAGTACAAACTAACCACCAAACTGCACTTTATGGGCACTAGAGAAATGCTTTGCTGCAGCAACAATGGCAGCTTCTGGCTCAGAAATCGCAGCAGGTTTTGAATCCTTCACATTTTCACCGGAGTCAAAAAACCAGGAGACTAATGATCTGTAGATGGATGAACACCCACACCCTTTCTTATCCTTACTCATCTTCTTCCTTGTTTGGAAATTCGGAGGAGGAAGAAATCAGTGTATATATATATGAGATTTTACAGAAAGTTTTGCTGAAGAAAATGATCTTGATCTCGAATATTTGATGCACAGAACAGAAGTATATATATATTGCAAATTGGCTTGGTTTGATGAACCAAGTGAACCCAATCTTGAGAGTTATATAAGCTGAGATTTCTTGATGATCAGGAAGACTTTGAGACTTTTATTGGGTTTCTTGTGCAAATGGAAAGTCATAGAAAGTGGGTGGCGGCTGCAAATTTTTCTTTCAACTTTTGACTATGACGACCTTAGCTTTCCTGATTTTGGCACGAGTTTCCTCCTGGGTCAGCGTCTTGGAACTGTCTTCAACGGATGCCCTTCTGTTGTAGCACTGATGCTCCGTTTTGGAGGGAGAATAGAAATTAAGAAAGACGAAAAGTATGAGAGTTACATTTTTTACCTTTCAAGAATAGAAAATAGGAAATATATATATGTTTTTTTGTGTTTAATTAGATGAATGAAAAATAAAAATAATTATTTTTTTTTTGTGTTGGCTAAGATTAGGAGTGACAATAGAGTTGAGTTGAGTCGAGTCGTGTCTTGTTAGATTCGTGTTGACTCATTACGAGTATGTACTGAATATTAGTCAAACCTAACTTAACTCAATTAACTAATTGTGTCGTGTCGAGTT